CCTCCTCCTCCATAGGGAACCCCCTCCCGCACCTCTGCCCCCGTCCTCCTACTTGTTGTAAAGTACGATGTCAGGTCTCCACACGTAGCTGCTGGGGATCTGGATGCTGTCAATGCCACCGTAGTCTTCCTTGTCCCAGCTTAGGTAAGCATCCACCCACACCTGCCGGATCCACAGGTAAGCGGTCAAGATTTGGTTCCTCTCATCCTGGGACGGAAGGGAAAAATTAACGGCTGCCCCCACCACCACTCCACCCCCGGAGAAAGGGGGCAGGTCCTGGGATGTGGCAGGTCGCTCTGAGAGGGACCAAGACCTGTAGAAGAATAGAATAAGGATAGTCTTGGGATTCCATAGCATAGTATAAGACAGAGGTCTTCAAAGTTGGCAGCTTTAAGACTTGTGGACTTCAACTCCCAGAATTCCACAGCCAGCATAATTTACTCTCTTGTCATCCCTTCCTCTGCAATCTCTCCACTTAGATCAGAGGTCTTCAAAGTTGGCAGCTTTAAGACTTGTGGACTTCAACTCCCAGAATTCCACAGCCAGCATAATTTACTCTCTTGTAATCCCTTCCTCTGCAATCTCTCCACTTAGATCAGAGGACTTCAAACTTGGCAGCTTTAAGACTTGTGGACTTCAACTCCCAGAATTCCACAGCCAGCATAATTTACTCTCTTGTAATCCCTTCCTCTGCAATCTCTCCACTTAGATCAGAGGTCTTCAAACTTGGCAACTTTAAGACTTGTGGACTTCAACTCCCAGAATTCTCCAGCCAACATAGACAATTCTGCAGAGCTGGCTAAAGAATTCTGGAAGTTGAAGTCCACAAGTCTTAAAGTTGCCAAGTTTGAAGACCTCTGATCTAAGTGGAGAGATTGCAGAGGAAGGGATTACAAGAGAGTAAATTATGCTGGCTGGAGAATTCTGGGAATAGAAGTCCAACAAGTCTTAAAGTTGCCAAGTTTGAAGACCTCTGGTTTAAACTGTTTCCTCCATGTTATGTTGAAAAGATCCATTCTCTCATGCTTTTTTTTTTTGAAAGTTGACTACAATATGTGTAACGTTGGAGGCAGAATGTTGGCTTTTTTTCAAAGATTGCATCTGTACAGGTAATCCTTGACTTAACAACAGTTCAGTTAGTGACGGTTCGAACTTACGACAGCACTGAAAAAAGTGACTTATCAAATTTCACACTTATGATAGTTGCAGCATCCCCATGTCACATGATTTACACATTATGGATAATGGGCAACTGATTCATATTTATGACGGTTGCAGAGTCCTGGGGTCCCGTGATCCCCTTTTGTGACCTTCTGACAAGCAAAGTCAATGAAGAAGCCAGAGATTCACTTAACAACTTTGTTACTAACTGAACAACTGCAGGGATTCCCTTTAAGGTCATAAAATGGGACAAAACTCCCGTAGCAAATGTTTCACTTAACAGCAAACATTTTGGAGTCAGTTGTAGTCATAAGTTGAGGGCTACCTGTATCTTGCTCCGAAAATCATGGCTTAGTACAATGTGTGAAGCAAGATAGGTTAGGTTCTGTCCCACAGGATGGAATTGGTAGCTATGGACCAACATTGCTGCTTAAACATCTGGATAACCCTGGTAGATCTACTCAGGTTACTTCTCTGAAACATTTAAGGATCAGTGATAAAGAGCTACTGGTATTATTTATGATGTCAGAAAGATCTCCCCACGTGCAAAGGATCCCCGAAGTGAAACTGGGATGAAATTGAATTATTCTGCATCATATGTTATGTATTTTTAATACTGTCAAGAACAGTGATGGCGAACCTTTTCAGCACTGAGCGCCCAAACTGCAAAGCGTGTGTGTTTGCGCACCAGAAACCAAAGACCAGCTGAACGGCATGTGCACATGCCTATTTTGTGGGCATTTTCCGAGCCGCTTTCAGGCCATTTTTGGGCTGTATTCTGGGGTGTTTTGGGACCCCAAAATGGCCCTGAATACGGCTGAAAAACAGCCCCCCCAAAACAGCTCAAAAATGACCTGAAAACAGCCACAAAATGGTCCCCAAACAATCTGTTTTGGGGCGCTTTTGGGCCCGTTTTCAGGCCATTTTTGGGCTGTATTCTGTGGTGTTTTTTGGACCAAAAATGGCCCTGAATATGCCTGAAAAATGGCTTGAAAACAACCTGAAAACAGCTTCCAAATGGCCCAAAAATGGCCTGGTTTTTTTTTACCATTTTTGGGGGCGTTTTCAGACCATTTTCCGGTGCTGCAGCGCCCGCAAAGACCAACTGATCGATGTGCATGTGCACGACAGAAACCAGAAGAGCAGCTGGCGATGGCGCGTGCCCCCCCTAGAGAGCTCTCTCTGCATGCCACCTCTGCCCCACACTACTAGGAAGTCAAAGGTGATTTCAAAAAAATGGGCTCTGGGATTGTTCTGTCCGAATTAGCAAGCTGAGCGCTCTAGAAAGCTGGACCAAAGTCGGACTAAGAGAACAACACAAGGAGCCATAGTGGAAGAGACAACAATGAGCACCCGACAGTTGAGTTCAGTGGCAGGTTCCGGATCCTTGGCGGCATCCACATGGATGCGTGCAGCACATGCATCTTAGAGCCTCCGCAAGCCTTCGTGATGCTCCAGCTGCTCAGCAGAGCATCGCGCAGGCGCTGTATGCATCATGTGCATGCATGGAAGCACCGAAGACTTAAAAGACTGGTAAGGAGCTCGGGCAGGTGGGTGGGCCATCCGGCGCACTGTACCAGAACGGTATCAGGTGCTCCGGGCAGACTTTAGTATGCCCGTACCTGCAACCCATCACTGGTTCAGATGTTTGAGATGCTGAGAAGCCTTTTAGTGTCTGGGAACCACACAAGGTGGGAGAAAGACCAGAATTCTCTGACAAACAAAGCCAGTGGGGAAGCCAGATTCACTTAACAATCGCCTTACTAACTTAACAACTGCAGTGAGTCACTTAACAACTGTGGCAAGAAAGTGTCATGCCCCCGTCCGAGTCGGAATCCGAAGGGGAAAACAAACAGCTGACAGAGGGTGAGAGAGTAGCTCCGTTGGCTGTGGAGGAAACTGGGGAAGGGCAAAGTCAGTCTGGGCGGACCAGGGGAGGGGTGGAACAAAGGAGAGGGGGTTCAGATGAAGACCAAGACGCACCCCCTCCTTATCCTAGGGAGCGCAGGGAAGAACACAGAAGAGAGCAATATGGGTTGTGTTGCTTACGAGGAAGGAAAGGGCCCCGATTCCCTTCACAAGGCACACCTGGGGATGGAGTTTAAAGGAGAGGCAAATGGGAGGGGCTGAGTTCATCTGGTGTTAACTGTTTATCTGAGTTCCTGGCATCCTCCAACTGGTTTGATTTACTGCCATGCTACTTCACTTCTGGAACTCCTTATCTTGCTTATCAATGACCTTATTTTGCCTTGTTGGATTTGTAGTTGGAAGTTTTCTGCTTACAACGTTTGGATTGGAGTATTTTCAGCCAAAAGTTGTTGCAGGTTGGTGAAAGAGTTTTTCTCCAGGCGAGTTGAAAGGGACGTTGGGGGCAGAGGTGATGTTAATAAAGGGGCTCATACCGGTTCTCTGGCTGTGTTGCCTTTGTGCCACACCCCGGGTCAGCACAGAAAGACGGTAAAATGGGGCAAAACTCACTTAACCAATGTCTCGCTTAACAACAGAAATGTTGGGCTCAGTTGTGGTCGCAAGTCAGGGACTACCTATGTTCCGTCTTTATTATTTTTATAACTTTCTTCAGGGCAGCAAACAACCTGCGAGGTGGGTTGGGCTGAGAGAGCGGGACTGGTCATAGCTTGAGGCCTATTTGTACTGCACAAACCAGAAGGAGGACTGAGAGAATATCTACAGACCCCTCACAACTTAACCACTAACTGTCTTAACAACAGCAGTGATTCATTTAACAATTGCAGCAAGAAAGGTTGTAAATCGGGGCATAACTCCCTTAACAAATGTCTCCCTTAACAACAGAAACGTTGGGCTCAATTGTGAGTTGAAGGACTCCCTGCATTTATTTATTCATTTTGGAAGAGAATCTGCAGCTGTGAATTGGAAGCCAATAATCTTCGGTTATGCACTCAGGACAACTAAGATTAAGTGTGTGTGTGTGGGGGAGTTTCAAGATTTACAACGGGGTGCAAAACTGAGGCTTCAAATCCCCTCTCCCCCAGGGGTTCCTGAATTTCAGCTTTCCGCACAAAATAAGGAAATCATTAAATATACTGTGAGTAATCTTTTTGACAGTAGGTAATTAATTACATTTAAATTGGTTTTTTTCCCTCCTCAGCTCTGCCCATTCAGAGTTCAGTCACACTCAAGTTGTGTCTTCTCTTCCTAATCGTTGCTTTCTTTTGATTTACATTGTTTGGCCATTCATGGTCTGGAAAGGAGTTTAAGTGTGGTCTCCCAGTGGTCGGGACAAATCCCTTATAACAGTGGTCTCCAATCTTGGCAACTTTAAGACCTGTGGACTTTAACTCCCAGAGTTGGCTGAGGAACTCTGGGAGTTGAAGTCCACAAGTCTTAAAGTTGCCAAGGTTGGAGACCACTGCCTTATAGGTCCTATAATACTGAAGCTGGTGCTTACCCCATAATAATTGTGTCTTGTTTCATCGGTTCAAGGCAAAGCACCCAAGTCACTAGCAGAAGCCTCTTGAGTCCCAGCTGATTGGGAGGGAATGGGGAGTTTACAGTATCCTTCCCCTGCCACACCAAGCCACGCCCACCAAGCCACACCCACATAACCAGTACTAAAAAAATTTGAATCCCACCCCTGGTCTTCTCCCATCCATTAGCTGTTGGTGTTAATTAAAATCCATTTAGCTTGACAACTTGGTAGCAATGAGTGGCGTTTGTGATAACCTGGAGGAGGATCACCACTTTGGAGTTGTTCAGTTGAATTAACATGGGAACTTCAAATCTGGGTCAAAGATCCTTACTGGACCTCAGATCTCAAGTTATTTGAGAGAAGGGAGGCCTATTGAATTTGATGTTGCTAGGGTGAAAAAGGAAGTTCTTAACTATCACAGGTGTTGTGATTACTTAATCTTGATTGATTATGTATCACCAAGTCAATGTTGACTTTTAGTGACTACATAGGTAGTCCTTCACCANCCGGAACTGGATGGGTGGAAGCTGCCAGCGTGGCAGTGGAAGATTGGACCATGGGATGGACTGGTGGGTGTGGGGGCAAGATCCTGGCCTTTCAACTGGTGGGGGGGGAGCCGGGAAGCTTTCAGATTCAGGTTTTCCCAGATGTGCCAACGTGGCTCTCTTTAATAAACTGGGACTTTGAGGAATCCTTTGCCTCGGACTCTGTTTTAATTTCGGATGCTCTTTGGAACCCTGACACCCCTCCGCCCTTACCATGTCTATGATCTGGGAGAGGGTGACCTGAAGGGTGACGTTGAGTGCTCGCTCTGTGTCCTCTGCCGGCCGCAAAGCGCTGGAGTAATTGGCAAAGAGCCGGTGCAGCAGCTGGTAGGCCATCTTGCCCGGAGCTCCTGAGCAGCCTGTTGAGAAAAGGTCCAGGTAGGAGAACCAGGCAGGAAAGGGTCAAGGGAAGCCCCAGGGGGGCCAAGAGAGGGCTTCCGGGTTCCCTTCTCCCAACCTCCCTCAAAAGAGAACAGCCACAGCGCCCCTCCCTCCCTCTCTGTATCCATGGTTTACGGCTGGTCTCCCCTTACGAAGCTGTTAGCTTTTGAAGTGCACCAGGGCTTAGATGGTTGAGTAAGTTGGGAGGGTTGAGAGCTGACGACAGAGGCTATGGGAGAAAGGATGGGTCTTCCGATGCTTCTGGAATTTCAATGGTTATTAAGAATAACAAAGTTGGAGGGGCCTTGGAGGTCTTCTAGTCCCACCCCTTACTCAAGGCAGGGGACCATCTTATACCATCCTGATCACATGATTATCCAGTCTGCTTTTGAAAACCTCCAGTGCTCGTTCTACTGGTTAATTGTCCTTTCTGCCGGGAAATTTCTCCTTAAATCCAGGTTAGTTAGTTTCCATCCATTGTTTTCTTGTCCTGCCTTCTGGTGCTTTGGAGAATAGATGGATCTCCCCTCTATATCTATCTAGCAATAGCAGTTAGACTTATATACCACTTCATAGGGCTTTCAGCCCTCTCTAAACGGTTTACAGAGTCAGCATAT